ATTGATAGGACGGGTATCCACTTGACCGCACGTATGGCTATATCGCACGTATGGTTATAACGTTTGCGGTTCAGTCGACCGAAGCGCCACTGGCGTCGAAAACAGGCAATCATTAGTCGGATGCAAGCCATTCAAGTGGACCGACAATGGCATGACTTTTTCGCGGTCACTGAACTAAACGGTGAAACAAGTAGGTGTGGCCTAACACATGGCAATATGTGTATAACTGTAAATTTATTTTAGTAACCAGCCTTGCTGATCTAAATTATTTATTAATTAATACATAGGGAATTAATTGTGTGTTTACAATGAGTTTATACACTTTACTTGATAAATTATATAAAGTTTTAGTGGTCGCTATGGTATCGTTATAATTGTCATAACAATATGATTATCATTTGTTTATTCAGTTACCGGTATATATTTTGTTGCATTTATGAAAGTTATTTCGTAGATAATGTTTCGTATAAATCATAAAATATTATTTCGTATTTTTTTTGCAGAGTTTTCAATTACATGTAAATTAAAATTATTCGACTCTAGGTTATCTAGGTTAAATAAAAATAGAAAATATTTTACATTTACAGTTTGAAAATTATTTTGTGGATTCATTTATATACCATATTAAAACATCAGAGGGTTACTTAATAACTATATAATTTGGGGGGCTTCCATTGGACCAAGGTCTAATATAATTTACTATATTTTGTGCATTTGTGAGCTTGGCTTAAAATGCTTGAATATAAGTTCTGTTAATAATTCTGTTAATAAAATATTATTTGTTTTTATATTTATATACATAAATATTTATATACATAATAAAGTTTATAAATGTTTCATTCATTAAACAATAAATAAGATAAATGGCATTTATCAAAAGTCAATAAAATCAATAAATAGTTAAAAAATAAAATTTATCAAATTAATTATTTTATGATTTATGATTTTATCTATAAAATGAATTTTAAATATAATGATAACATATATATAATGATAACATATATATAATGATAACATATATATAATGATAACATATATATAATGATAACATATAACATATATAATGATAACAAAGATGTTGTCATGACAAAAACCACTAATTATAATTCAATATAATGTGAATCTAGTCTCATATACGAAATATATGGTTTAGAAAGTATAGTTATATTAATAACTACAATTTAATTCTGAATATTCTAATTTAACATTGCTGAAGTTATCTGATATTATAATTNAGTTATATTAATAACTACAATTTAATTCTGAATATTCTAATTTAACATTGCTGAAGTTATCTGATATTATAATTAAAATGACTCTGTCCACTTATCTTATTCAAAAAATAAATAAATATAAAGCAAATATGAATAGGTATAAAATGTTAGCCATGGTAAAAATCAAACAATACCTACAAGTTAAATCAACAATAAGCGAGATACTTTGTGTATATGAGCCATATGTGAAATATTTCGGCTCAACATTATCGGACTCTATTGATCACATAATGAGTGGTTATTATTCAACATTCAGATTGATCCAGGTGATAGTGTCGCAATTAATAATGATATCAGTGTTCTTATCGTCATTAGTGTATACGGTGAGCAATGACCAGGTTGTTAGCTTTTTATTTTTCAAATTAGACACATTTATGGGCGACCGTGTATTATTAGGTTTGATATTCACACTGGCACTTTTATTGGCGATTCTAGCTCGATGGATTATATATCACAGACAACTCAAACACAAATTGTATCATGGACATTTTTTGTATTACTTAAAATATGACCTTATTAAATACCCGTTAAATATTACCAATGAAAAGTATATCATTTACAAATATACATTGTTATATCACATGTGTAAACTCATAATACCTATGATGCTATTTATAGGCCTATTAGTATTGCTTTACGTATTTAGTGTGATTGTACTAAACTATTTCACCTTATTCAATTTATCTAAAATTATAGTCTTTGATATTGTGCTAATGTATTGTTGGCTGGAATTCATGGGATTAATGTTTATCTTTATATTTACTGTTAATATGACCATTGATTATATCCAGTGTAAGTTTATGGAGATTGTCGATATGATGGGACAGGCAGTCAATCGCCATAATAAGGCACTATTATTATCAGCAATCAAACAACACAATTATTACGAGGTATGGGTCANGGCGCTTCGGTCGACTGAACCGCAAACGTTATAACCATACGTGCGATATAGCCATACGTGCGGTCAAGTGGATACCCGTCCTATCAATTTGGTCGGTCATCGCGTGGGGTTATTACGCGTATGTCATACAACTCAACCTCTTCACCATCGATGACATTGCGCTCAAGACTTTCAATATAATTATCTCAAACTTGTTATGTGTGTGTAGTTTGTGGTGCTATTGGCAGACCATATTCACGGAGAGCCCAAATGTGCCTGAACAAGTATGTATATAGCTAAAATATGTATAGTGTATACAAGCTAGCTTAAATACTAGCTATTAATTACGATCTGAAGGTTTTGGCCAAATATTTAACCCATAGTATATATATGTATCTCATTTGCGGTGAGCACCGGGTGTTTAATAAACAGTATGAATGTCTTGTATAACAGTTTTGGTTTTCGTCCGAAGAAAAGGAGACGATATTAATGGAGACGGACTGCGAGGGTCGTCGACGTCTCGGCGAGCGGTACGCCTCTCAACACAACCTTCCGGTCCAGTGCCGGACGGGTGACCAGATGTACCGGATTTGCGCCATTTGTTGGCTCATTAAGCCGGACAGAGCCCATCACTGCCGGGTATGTCAACAGTGCACACTTAAGATGGACCACCACTGCCCCTGGTTTGTCACGCTTTTCACTAAAATCACCATGATCATTGTTTATGAAACGTGCAGACATAAATGAATGTTACCATGCTTAAAATGACATAATATTAATTAATGTTTTTGTATGACTCATTCACAAATAGGGTGAACAACTGTATTTCGTTTGCAAACTACAAATATTTTGTTCAACTTCTGGGGTACGCTCTAATCATGTGCTGGTTTTCTGTCGTCACTTCGTTTCCCTATTTTCTTAAGTTTTGGACGGTATGTATGTATATATGACACACCACCCCATAACACCCAGTGTCCCCTCTCACTCATCCCATTGATTATTATCTGGCTAATTGACAGGACGAATTACCGGAATCGGGAAAATATATTATATTAATGCTATTCGCGGTGTCCTTCATGTTTGCCATGTCTTTGTCCGGTCTATTGGGTTATCACGTCATACTTATTATACACAACACGTCTACAATAGGTTTGTACGACATATTCTACATATTCTCATTTTATCAAGTTTATTCCACCCTGACACTTTAGAGTCTTTCCAAAAACCGGTATTCCTGGCCGGGACTAACAATAATGGCTATGATCAAGGGAAGTATAATAATTTTTGTCAAGTATTTGGCTATAAAAAGGTTTTATGGTTGATTCCAATAAACACCAGGTTTGTATATGTTTATAATTAATTTTGAATTTTATAATATTGTCTGTACAGTAATATATTTTATGATATTTACTTTATATATACATATAACCAAGTCCACTAATGTCTAAATGTAATTAAATGGATTAAAAAAATTAAAACTTAATTAAACTTTTAAGATATCTTTATTTTAATTAATAGTATCGGTAATGGCTATACATATGAAGTGGGAATCAAACTACCGGTGCAACTCGACACTCAGTCTGACCAGATATACATAGGGATTGAAACTAATTAAGAGTTTTTTTTAATGAAATAAATGGATCTTTATTAATCAAATAAATTCGCCACCCTTATACCATAAGCACCGTCCTATCTGTCCACTCATCGTACTGCCAAATACCGGCACCTGAATCACCCTGAGCATACACAAAATAATTTATATCAATATTACTTACAAGTTTGTACAATAATAATTTTAAAACAATATTACCTGGCATAATATACTATGCTCGTCCAGCGAACTTGTTTGCATAGACTTACCATCCTTGGGCCAATAACCTAGATACAATATGGTACCTATTTGTAGTGGTAACGCACCTACTTTACCCCAGCCAGCCACCCAGCATCATTTGTTTTTTATATCAAACATTAAATTAATTTACTATTTTTAAATTTTCAGTTATTTAATAAATAATTTTTAAGTATACCTGTACAGGTAGATATTATAAATTGAATAATATATCTTTAACACGATTTAACTGTAAAATGACCTTAATGTTAATTATCATTTTTGTAATCTTTATTTATTTGAATATATTTATATACGTACCACTCTGTTCATTTTATTAAATTATTTAATTAATATTGAATATACAAGATTTTTAATTAAAGTTTTTTGTTTAATAAGTATTGTATATTATGAATTATCTATGAAATTAGTTTAATTAATAATTTTTATAAATGCCTTAAGAATATTGAGTTTTAATTAAGTTTATTATAAAATATATACTTTTTTAACATAATATGATTGTATTTTTAATCGTTTTGAATTATTATATAATATTACAATTTGTGACAAATTTAAATAAATAAACCAGTATTATATTATATAATATTTTTAAAGATGGTTTTATAAATTAATTGCTGTATTTTTAAAAAATAACTTGATAATAGATTTATGCATTTTGCTCAAGGCGTCTCAAATCATTTGCAACATTGATGCCAAAACCTGTGCTAATAAATGCCACAACAAAGGCAATCCAAAATAGAGGCATAAACATGGATACATAAATATTGAACAAGGTTATCTCAACCATCAAAACCGAGTAGATCACGATTAGTGTATACGACTGGTTTGTACAAACAATGAAAAAATGAGCTATACATGTGGCCAGGCCCATAATTATCATCCATTTGTGGTTATGTACGTTATCATAGTTCTAAAATTATAAATACATTAAAAATATATTAAAAGTTTTCACCTTGCATAAATACCACGTAACCATCGGTAAAGAAATCAAAGAAATAAGCAGCCATCCCATATAATCCAAGAAATAAACTGGATATTTGACTGATAACACCAATGGCACGTAGATATCCTTTTTTAGTATTAACATTGCTAATTTTATCAGATGCGTCCATTATATTTATTTCAATTTAAAATTAAATCAACTAAAATCTGTTTAAAATATTTTCAAATAAATTATTATTAAATTTTCTAGAAATATTTCATTAGTTAAAATTATTTATGTTTATTTATTCAGTTACAGTTTAATGTGAACAGGTGATTTAATCAATATAATGATGCAACAATCAAATTAATTTGTTTCACGCTTATTAACATATTATTGATTTATAATGACAGTCTATTTAAAGGTATGTTTTTTAATTAATTACAGTAATAACAAATATATTTATCATTACTTTACTAATGATATCTGTATATTATTTAAGAAAACATTTTCAAGTTGATAATTATGTATGATTATTATTAATTAATAATGCAAACAATTTCAATTGACCCTCTTCCAAATACGTATTGCATGGTTCCGGGGGCGCACTTCACCCCCCGATACCATAAACCGTATTTCCTCGGTGTGCTCCCACTTAGCACTATGGGTCAGGTATAGCCAGTTACTCCATACACCAGGGTTAACATCGACTGTGGTATGATAAGTGACATCATTTGTTTGTTGAACCTGTATTAATCTTGGTGAATTTCCCTCCTGAATACCGGCGCCAAATTGGCTACTGTTCCCGCCCTCAGCCCTAAAAAACGAGCCATTGTACATTGGTGATATATTTTCCCATGATAACTGTGGCCATAATGCACGTGGATCAGGCTGATCCGGTAATTGTACATAGATGAAACTTATAGGCAACACTGTATTGACCATATCATTTCGTAAATCCTTAATTTGTCTACGATTTTCAGCAAGCTTATTTTCAAAATCACGAGCTTGCTGTTTAAGCTTAATTATTGCTTGTTCAAGTTTGTACTGTGACCATGGTTGACTGCGCTGACAAACCACTACATTTCGTTTTGAGCATGGTGCGATAACCCATTTACCTTGTTGGGGTTTTTCAGGCACCATTTCTACACACATTTCATTTGATGAATTACCTTGATGCTCCCATAACCAATTTGTGTAGTTGCTGATTAACCCATCAGGTAGTACCAGTTTGCCCTGGTCAATTTTAGCACCTAACCATATATTAAATAAAATATTGTATGAATAATATAACGATTTGATTAAAAAGTCTTGTTCAGCCTGGGAATGAATAGTTAACAAGGTTGAATCGGTAGCCTGTTTTTGACAATATTTCATTGCATCCTGGTAATTGAGCATAGTGTCATCAATTACTTTATAACATTGCTGATCATCATAATGTATCCAATCATCACATGGATTATTATTATTATTAACTAAAATTTATAATCATCAGGTTAAAATAAATATAATATTAGTTTATTAAGCATTACCTGCATAAACATTTTGATTGAACAAGTAATAGAATAAAAATGCAATAAAATAATACATGGCTAACTAAGAAATTTGTTAAGTTACTTTATTTATTAAGTTATTTGTTAACAGTTAACTGTTCAAGTTGCTTTTTATAGTAGATTATCTGTAAATATTAGAAATAATATTGATCATATTTGTTTCTATTATTTATCCAGTTGTATAAAGTTTATTGATTATATATGAATTATAGATAATTGTTTTATTTATATAACAATATTTATATTTCTTATCTCATAATAAGTGAAATACAATAAAAATTATTGTTTGATGAAACTTTTATATAAATATTTTACCATTAAGGATATTGATATTTTATAAGAATTATCTGGATACACTATATAATCATAAATATCTCTTAAAATTATTTCCTTATTTATTTAATAAGTCATATAATTAAAATTATAAGTCCATCAATATAAAAATTACACATGATTATACAATATAATAAATTTTATACTAAAATACAACTTATCCAATAACATTAATTTTTTGTAATACCTTTAATTAATAAGCATGTCATTATAAATAAGTTAATCAATAAATTAATGCTTTAAAAGTAATATTTTATACATGTTTTATACTGTATTAACAAATGGTTATATTGCAAAAACAATTGTCATAAATTTTAATTAATTGTATACTTTTAAAAATTATTTTTTCACCAAAATTATTTTTTAAAAAATAATATAATAATTTTAGGAAAAGTTGCAACCAGTACATTTTAATCATGAATAAAGAATTTGTTATAAATGATTTAACATGTGTAATGCCAAATAGAATAAAGGTAAATAATAAAATTTTAAATAATTTTTTAAGATTACAATATTTAAATTACTTATTTTATTTATTAATAGATAAAATGCACATTTTTTTAATTAAATCACCATGGCAAAATGCATAAATAATACTGTTTAAAATATTTAATCAAGAACAGTTATCAAACACATTAGTTAGTTATGGGTGGGTTAAAAGCAAAGAATGAGTGGTGTCTAGTATCCAAGGTACATTGTTGGTTGCATTTGTTTCCGGATATTTTAGCATTGATGTAATCAATGGACACGGATCTCAATCCCTGTCCACTGCAACCTAACTGGTCGTCCGCCACATAAGCATTAGCCGAGAAAAAGTTATCGCCAGCGCATACACCACCAGTAATTTGTCCAAAATTGACCTCGTACATATTGCCGTTCAAATAGGTATAGTACTGGGAGAAGTTGCCAATAGTCAGATCCTGGGCCTGTCCGTTCACCACTGAGGCATATGTCCAGGGTGACACCCAGGCATCGTAGCCATTGCACGTGATGTCGGAGTTAGGGTCAGTCATGTTGAGTGAGATCTCCTGAACGGGACCCCCGGTGCACACAATCCGCTTATAGATAGTCTGGTTTGTGGTCTTGTAGGGAGTGATCACTGTTTGACAAATTGAATTAAATTATTATGAATTAATTTATCTTATTGATAATTTTTAATAAAACAATTAAGCAAGGTGATTAATTGATATCATACCGACACGTTTGCCGGGATCGGAGTTCGGGAATCTCTGGGCATTGGCTGCCGTGAAGTCGCCGCTATTTTGAACAACTATTTGCGTAAAAATAAAATTTATAATTAATTTTTATTTATTATGATAATCATAATTTAAATATAAAAATAAAAGTCATAATACCCGGGAAAGCGGCACCTTGATGATGATGACCAAGGAATCCTAAACTAGGAAAGTGTCCCAAAAAGTCACCCAAAAGTCCACATGTTCTTGGTTCGGTCATGACCAGGGCTAAATATGCATTGAAAATCATTTTAAAGCATGTATATTATTTGGGTTGAAATTATCATAATATACCGGCACATGCCATAAACACAATGCAAGCTAGTTGATTCATTTTGTTATCAGGTAGACTTTTGTATTATTGTTATACAGTACAAGTTCTTGATATGATTTAACTTGGTGTATTCAATGTGCTTATATACTATGTTCTAATCCGCATAACATACAATTGTCATTTTAATTAATATTCTTGTCAGTTTACGTTTTATTTATAGTTAATTATACTATTTTCTGCTATGTTATATTGATGTTAAACATGTTACCTTGATACTTAACGTCATAAATGAAGAAATAATATTTTTTATGAGATCCTAGTGCATTCTGTTCCTGGAAAAGTACAGCCATTAATAACCAGTCATATTATTAAAAAGTGATAATCAATTATATAAATATTTAATAAACCATATAATTAAAATATAGCAAAATAAATAAATCAATCAACATTTAAAATTTGCTTTTATATAAATATTTTATATACTAAATTTAGTATAATATAAAATAGTTAAGCAAAATTTATACACACATTTTTAGTACATAATTGTATATAAAATATATCAATTTTAATATATAAATGAAACATGTTTCTATATAAATGTTTTATAATACTATATAAAACAAATTAATTTTATAAATATCCTTTTTAAAATTAGAACAGATACATTTGTCTTAAGAGTATAGATCCTGGTTAAATTTTTATATATTGTAGGACCTATTAATTATAGTTGTTTTTTTGCTGTCAACAACCAAGATCCTCTTTGTCTATGCAAAGTAGTTATGTCACAAAGGCTATTACTGCACATGAACTGTCACATAAATCTTTTTAATGTTCTCTATATCTGGGAGGCCATAATGAGACGTACCTCTGAAAAGTTGCTTTTATTTCTTCTTGAAACATTGCTTTTATGTAAAGTTTGAAATTTACTTATATTAAACCTTATAAATTTTAAACTTTACACAAAAGTAATGTTTCAAGAAGAAATAAAAGCAATTTTAGCAAAAACTGTTTCCCAATTTGTATTGCCATTGGGTATGACCATGCATATGAATGGTTGTTCAATGTACTACCCAATGGTCACACTATTTGTGGCACAAATGCATGGCATGGATATTACTTTTCAGATGCTTATCACTTTGTGGTAATTAATATAATAAAATGAGCAAAAAATTATTTTTAAAATTTTCATTTAAATGTAAAAAATGTTTTACAGCAGAAGTGTCCACGAGAGTAAGAATGGGTATTATTACAGTACTTGTAATCATTTTATTAAAAACTAAACACAAATACCATAACACATGGTGTGAGTAGGGATTATCAATTACTAATAATGCAAGGGATTATAAAAATTGTACAATAATATAACATTAATTAGGATTGACTCTAAAATTTTTAACTGTAAAAAACATTAATAAATAATGTCTGGTCACGTCTGTTTTACAGTATATTCGCAGTCATGATGTCAATGGCCTTACCGGGAGCGCCTTCTGGCGGTTCATCTATAGTTAATTTCATAACATTAAGCGTTATAATAGGAATCGAGAATCCACTGGACATCCTTGCATACACCATGACAATGGACTGGATCATGTATGTTATTGTTATTTTTAAATGTGTATGACATTTATCATTTATTTACTATTACAGGGAAAGGCTCCGTACAACGGGTAACGTTATAGGGGACTGTTATCTGGCGGCTATTATACAAAAGTTATGTCATATTAAATCTGTTGAACTAAATTCCTAAAATTTATGACATTTAATTCAATTATATACTCGGATTCAAATTTATTAAATTATATCTATCTTAATAGATTAATTGAATTTTGTTCATAATTTTTAAAAATAATTTGATAGGGTCAATATTGTGAGCACCGGGAGGGTGTCCGCCTAAATCCCGGCTCACGGTTACGGTAGATTAATTAGCTTGCTTATTTGATCTTGGTGATTTTAGTTAAACTTGGTTAATTAAGTAAATAAAACTGTATATTTTTCAAAAAGGCCTTTATTAGAGATAAATACAGTAATACATAAAGTGATGTTCACTTGAGAGCACCACTCAATAGACTAT